AAGTTGGCTATTATTTTAAAATGACTATATGTTGGCGAATATGAATTTATCTGCCTACCATACTAAACGCTCCCGCTGTCGATGCGGTTGCTCACGGAGAGCAGCCTTTATCAACTACGTATTTATTTTTCTACAGCACTAAGTTTGCAGTGACGAAGCCCTCCGGCCCTAAAATATAAAATGTATTTATTTATTTAATCTTCCGCTTGAAATTAGGTTGTCTTCCATATTAGCGATTTTAAAGGACAATCATTTTAAATTTAACTTTGGAAGAAATAAATTCGTAACTGTCTGTTTCCCTCCCAAACACGCAACTTGTAGATTTCGAAAAGGGTCCTTCTGGCATTTGAGGTTCTTACCAGGATAATTAAGTGGTCCCTTCAAATGTTTGAATTTTTCTCTGCAGAGTCAAGCATCATTTCCAAATGCAGCAAACTCTTCTCCGTTTTGTAACCTTAGCGGTGGTGTTCGAGGTCGCTATTGATGGTCATCGCGTGTTCTTGCGTTGTCGCCAACTTTTTGGTGAACTCTGCAGTATGGTGGGTCGCATCTCGATCATTTTGCCTTGACTTCCACCGTCCCCACGTCGTTTCGACTCCGTTGTCCCGGCGACCCCTTCTTATCTCAACACCATGATACTATGTCATTTTTTCCATGACTATAAGCGTTCCGAACACTCAACACCAGGATAAAATCTTACTGCATCTTACCATACCTTATCAATCTAACCACGTATTAAGCAGTTTTTTCCTATCTCTTTTGAAATCGGTGGCTCGCTGAACTCTGCCAGCGATGAAGGAGTCTTTTTTTACTGCCAAGAGACCATTATCTTATAAGAGAGTTCGCTGTATATCCGATCTAACTTACCATCTTACTACGCGTAGCATGCTACCCTTCCTGTTGTTATACAGTTGCTTACGCGCAGCTGTGATCACCAACTTTGTATTTTTTTCTCTTTACGACAGCACTGAGTTTATAATGAAAGGGCTCCTTGGGCCTTAAATATACAACTTATTATTAAACGCTACTTATAGATAATTTCTGGTAAACGATGCATATGGTGCACAGTGATTTGGGTACTCTATATCAATCATTGATCACTTCCAAATATATAGACATCAACTATAGTTTCATGAAGTGTTCCTTTAAATGTCTCAACACATTCAACAATAACAACCGAAGAAGTTAGTCTGTTCCCGACATCAGCCACCCGACGAGAAAAGGAGTTGGTCCGCACTTCAAATTTGGCTTTATGTTTCATAGGTTTGCATCTGTGACCCTGGAGATTTTTTGTTTTTGCCTACTCAAAAAATCTGCTTTCTGAAGGGCAGTCTACTCCTCTGAGCACTTCCTCTGTAGTGTCCATAAGAACGGAAATTTTTTGTTATTTCTGGTAGGCATTCCAACCTACTGAATAATTTGATAACTCTTCCTTGAACCGTCTCTAGAAGATCGTAAACATACTTCAGTACCTTTGGACCCCAATATGACAGGTGTCCTGCGGTACATTCTAGGTGATATTTAGGCTCTTACGATTTCACTAACCCCAACTCTAAAATAAACGTTAACTCCACATTTTACTCTACTTCCAGTACGAAATCATGTTATGCCAATATATGTATACTGTATAATACACTGTATACGATGACATCCACCCTGCATAGTTAACAACTTTATCCTGTTCTATGGAGGTGTCTTCGTTCCGCAGAAACTATAAAAATCGTCCTGAGGCAGTTTCACACTGGACCTCTGAGCATCAACCGCATGATGGATGTAGCTCATAGTTATCCGTTCTGTCCTCACATGGACCAACCACTGGAACAGCCGGCCCACTCATGCACCAAATTTACCCTCGCATCAAAGACGTCAACGAAGACAACACACAGTATGGCCTGTGCCAGAACCCCCATGGTCCAGATTCCACATCGGTTATGCTGTACCGTTCGCTATCCAGAACCTCCTGATCAACGCTAAGGCATACAGCAAGTGGCCGGAGGGTACGCACGTGGAACGCACGACAGCCGGATTCGCAACCGACACTACTGGGTGATTGTTCAACAGATTTGGATGTAGATAAAAGCGAATATGGAGTTCCCGAAAGCAGTTTAGAAGAAGATGCGATCACTGGAATGAGAATTTTTTTCTTGAGGTTTCCGAGGTTTCCCTTATCATAGGTATCCGTAGGATAGTGTAAGTTCTACGCAGATGGAGGTGATACATGCACAGATTGCACGGTATTTATAGTTCGTAGCGGTCATCCGCATGCGTTCTGTAATTGTCCGTTCCTGCAGCCACCGCTTCTGGTCTTAATTGGTGCAGTGATGGCTTGACTCTTTTCTTTCAACTCATTAATCCCCGCGATTTCGCTGTCTGTGCGCGGGCGCGGGCTTGGTAATTGCGCCACAATTATGCTCGCTGTCATCAGAGTTTTTGCTGCGCCCGGCCCTTCCCACGTGACAGATTCTCTTGTCCAGGCAATGTTTCAGAACGCAGTATGGGAACCGCAAATTGTTGCGCTTGTGGATGAACTGTTGGCCTGAGAACTAGTACACCAATACCCTGTTTGATTTTACAGTCACCGACGTCTGTTCCGCCCTACTTATAAAGCCCGACGACTCCCATCAGAGCCTCATCGGCGGTCAAATGCACTGTCGGAGCGGTGGTTTGATGGCTGCATTATGTGAGTTCGAAAGTTCTGGTTGGACGTTGTATCCCCATGCCGAGGGAGGGGGTGACTTTCTGAGGCGAGGGAGACCCTGCAATAGCTGCTTTTCCTTTCGGGCCTGTTCTCCAACATCTCATCACTTGGAGTAAAAGATAAAAGGACGCGCAGGGTCATGGTGTTTAGAGAAAATCGACTAAGCACAAATTTAAAGTATGACGGGCCGGAAGAGGAGGAGGCGGGGCAAGTTGGCGAGTCGGGGATGAACAGGAAGAGATCAAGATCAGAAGGGGATGGGGAATTAAGGGCAGGAGTGGGAGGTAGGAGGCAGTGGGGAGGGAGGAGAAGGAGGAAGGGTAGGTGGAATAGGAATACGATAAGCAGAAACAGAAGGAGTAGCTGGGAGACGAGAAGTAAGAGGAACTGGAGTGGAGTTTAATGAGAAAGAGGAGGAGGTAAGAAGAATAAGAAGAAGATTAAGAGTAGGAGGGGCGGGTGGGAGAAACGAGGAGGCAGAGGAGGCGATCACTGAGCTTGCTATTCGACAGTGGATCGGAGAGCGCTGGCTCAAACAGGTCAAGGTTTATACGACGGTCACTTCGCAGGATAGCTGATTTTCCTTTCGGACCTGTTCTCTAACACCTCATCAGTTGGAGAATCCTTATGCACAGATAACCGTAGGATAGTGTGAGACATGAGCAGATTCTGGTGACACATGCACAGATTGCACGGTATTTATAGTCCCTAGCG